ACGAGGCAACCATCAACCTACAAGAACTTGAAATTTCAGGAAAATATGTCCAAAGAAAAGTCAGTGGAACAAGTAAGCAGTGAAGCACCCAAAAGCCAAGAGGTAAGTATAGAGTAGAGAAATTTTTTCGTGTGTTGTTCTTACTCTTGTCAAGAACAAGGTCTCACTTGGAGCTTCTTAAGTGATTGCGACGAACGTCGAAGTGTCACTGTGAGATCAAGGCTCTCAATCTAATGGCTAAGCTACCCAATTAAAAGCGGAGTTTATGATTAGAAGGCAGCCCATTGGAATCGAAGTGAGGATGGTCAGTGGTACAGGGAGAAGAAAAACCATGAGAAACGGCCCAGAACCCGAGAAATGGGACCCCTTCCTTGCCCGTTGATTTCCGCATTGATGCGACTCTCATCGTGCTGCCCTCTTCAACGTTAACGCTCTTTGCTAATGGTCAGGGACCTGCGGCAACTGCTTAGCCAGTCTATGGGCGTTTTGCGCCGAGAGCGCCGCGAAGGGCCATGTTGTCACGGTGGGGCATATCCTTTCCGGGGAACTGTGTCGACCCGCACCATTTAGGGGTCCGCCTGTCTTTCTGCTAGGTAACTTGTCCCTTCCTCGACCCTTGATCTTACCGTGGAATCCACTTTCAACAGAACTTTGATACCCAGCTCACCGCCATCGCATTTATTTGTCTTCCATGGGTACCTGAATGAAATCATGTGCTGCATCGCCCTGCAGTCCTTAGGCACTCTCATACAATTTCCATACAAGGACGTCAGCTTAGAAGTGGAAATAAGCAATTACCATATGTCTTCAACACATTCATTTTTTTCAGAAAAAGAAATTGAGCACCTCAGAGGAAAAAGAAGGAGGTTCCAACGCTCCCGCGCAACGATCCGGCGCCATTCACGAAGTCGATGACTCTGTACGTATTAAAAATTTTCATTTTATTTCCATAACTTTTAGCTAATCAAGCTATTGTTAGCATTATAGCAGTAAAGGAGGTTGCTTCGATAAATTGATTTCCTTATTGAATTTCTTCACCCTTACGCTACATCAGCAACCCTAACTCTTCAATTTACGTTGTTTTAGCGGTGTTTTCTGATCGTTTTTTTTCGATACAGGTAGTGGAACGAGCTAAGGAACCATCCGCAACAGAGGGCGCCAAGCAGGATTCCGAACTTTTCAACTCAATTGCTGAATATAACAAATGGATCGTGGAGGTGAGAACGAACTCATTTGAATGCTTCCATCAGTCAAAATTATTACGTATAATAGTTAAGAAGATGCCATGTTGGGGATTTTGGGAACTCCTCTGGAGGTGGTGTTGGGAACCGTCCGATCTCATAATTAATCTAAGGTGATGGTTGCCCTTAGCTGAAAATTTGCCAATACACCAGTAATTTCTGCTCCTCCCAGAAAATCAAGTGCAACCTGGTCTCATTATCAAAGCTCTCCCGACTTCTGCTTTGTTACACAATACCCGTAATTCGTTTGAAAGTTTACGTCAACAACTGGGTGGTTGAATTGGTTCAGCTGGACCCATTTTCAGTGAAAGAAGAGCTCGAAACTGGTTCAGCTCTCGTAGATTAGATTTTTGAGCGCTCACGGGCATCCGACAAGAAGTCCGTGGCCGCTGCAAGAAGGCAGAGACGCTTGGGGTCGGAGGACGAGTCGTAGTGCGCACTGTGGAGACCTAACGTCAATTTCAATAGAATGTACTTTAGCACGTCCCACATCGTACCCTCGTTGCACTTTGCCAACTCATCTGCTAACCGACAGCGTTCTCTACCTCCTCACGGGCGAAGCCTCTGCCCGTGCCCAGATATCACGCACAAGGCAGCAGAACACTCTTTTCCAGAAGCGACTTTTCCAACCAGGCCTATCAGCAAAGAAAAAATTGACTGTTTAACCAAGAAAGTAATTTTGACTTGACACGTTGCCGTTAATGTACCCCTTTCTCTTATGCACGAATTCTTTTCATTCTATAAGAAGCCGGAGTCTAGGTTGCTTATCGATAAGCATTGCTGATTTCGATGAACACATAAATGAATCCACAGAAATTTTGTTCTCCGTATAAAATAACGACTCAAAAAGGAACCATTACAGAAAGCAGCCAAACGGAAGCAGATCAAAGAAAACGGCTACAAAAAGATCACAATTAGTCAAGGGAGTGATTCCTCCTCAGCATCATTGCTGCAACAAGAAACTGCTAAAACACGGCCCTTGATCCTGATGTTGGAGGTCAGTGGTTGTTGACGCCAATGAACGTCATTGGAGGAGTAAGCCCTCAGCCCGCTAGAGACGTGGTTGCCACCCCCTACTAATGCTTTTCCACCACTGACATTCAATGACGTCACTAAAAGCCCTGCAGTCATTGAGATCGCTACCTCGAAAACTCAGAAATAGCAAGATACACAGCAGAGCATTCGCTGTTGGTTTTTAATCACTCATTTTAATCTGTGTAAGGCGGCTATGTAAAGACGGGAGAGGACAGGGGCGTGGAGGAGTAAAAGTGGAAAGGAGATTCCCATTTGCTATGCTGACAGGGATAAGCGAAGGCTTAAAGGAATCTTGCGCGGAAAAATCATGATTCTATTTCAGCCATAAATCACTGGCTTGAGACTCATTATCCACGATAAATAGTGAAAAGAACTGAAGTATTGCTTTCGTTTTGATTAGAAATTCGAAAACTCGAAAAGGCTGCTACGCGTTCGAATTGACGTCTTTCACGAATGCTGGCGACGGGGATGCTCAAACTTGGTTCTTGGAGTGCATTCACTAGAAGCTCTTTCTGGCCTTCTGCTTCGTTGCATTCACATCTTACACTTCTACTCCATCCTATTCCATCGATCGATTTGTCTCCACTCTCCGAAATCGCGCGCTTTAACCCGATTCTCTCATTGCGTCGCCTGGTACGTAGCCGGCCAAACGCCGTCTTCTTTCCATGCCTCGCCTGGCTCTGCCTCCTGGTCCTTCGATGGTCCATAACGTGTAGTTTTTGTACGTTTGTTTCTCTTCAGAAACCGAATCTTCATGCGTGAAACTTTGTGTGCTATTTCCAGTGATCACAACTGACATATTCATGTTAGGAAAGAGTGCAAGAATTTTCCGCGCAAGATTCCTTTAAATTTGCACTCGCGTGGCCAAGAAAGTGAAAAGGAAAGCTAGAGAAATCTTTGGGATCGCTGAAATTAAGGCCTTAACCTTCAAAAAGGTCGGATGTGGAACGATGGCGAGGCAGGGCGGTCAAAGAAGACAAAACACGCGAGAGATCACGCCGTTCGAGAGAGCACGCCGATATCGAGGTGGGTGGGAAGCGTTGCAACGGGGGTCGATGGTTGCAGGCCCGTAAGGATTAGCGCCCTAACCGCGCAACTTTTGCGGCGAAGCTGGAGTGATCTAGGTAGGTAGGGACCTTACAATTTCCCTCGCGGTATCCTTCCCACTAGTCGGGCTAATCCCGGGGTTTGCCTTTAAGTGAACTCCTAAGCCGTTCAAATCAGGCGTGTACCGTTGAAGTAGCAAAACTTTCCTAGAGACGTCTTCTTAGCGCCCCGCTCGCTATCGAGCCTGGCTTAATTCTAACCTGACCTCACTCGAAACCAGTGAAGCTTCGAATTGGCCCCATCAGATGAGCCTAATAAATCCCACTCTGACTTTAGTTACACAACCACCTAACCTTAGTCAGAATCTAGCTCTGACCCAATTCAGACCACAAGCGGTAGTGGTCTTGCTTTTTCACAAAATTGAGCAAAACGGGCTAAACCTGCTGGGATTCGATCAAAGAACTGCTACAGGTCATGCTTGGCAATCCGTATAATGCATCCAGTAATATAATTTACGCCGCAACAAATGGTCGATAATTCTCCAGCGAGTACTTGAAGTTGAAACCAGAAAAACTGGAAACTTTAGTTCTTGATGGATGAAAAACTAGAATACCGAGAAGGGAACTTATTGTCTCCCTTTCTCGTACGAGTAGCGCTTTCTATTGCCAGTTATGAGATTGTTGTGTAATTGCTGTAATTCTTGGATCTAAAGATGAGGTGTAGAGCAAGTTTAAATAGCAGACAACAAAAAATGACTAAAAAGATTTTGTGTTTTTCAGAGTGGTCGAAATATCGTGCCCGTCCGGTTATTCTTCGATACCGATCCACTGGGACCTCCAAGAAAAACGCTAACGGACGACTTCGCGAAACGATCCATATCTTCATCAGGCTTGACGAATGACAAAAAAGTTGCCGAAAAGCTGCCCGTGGTAGATGATAGCTCCCATCAGAGCCTAGGGGCACAAGGGAAGGAAGCAAAACAAGTGAATGAAGTGGAAAAGCTCTTCATCAATTCTGGAAACACCAACATGGAACCCACGACAGTTTTTAGCGCCGAAGCGAGTACAACGGCTGTACCACTGAAATCGCCTTCACCCACGTCGGAGCAGCCGAAAAGCGAAGCCGAAGAAAACTCTTCAGATGAGATGGCTAGTAGTGGGATGACCCCACCTATGACTAGTGAATCACAAGAAGAGTTGTTATTCCTTGACAACCACGAGACAACTTTACCTCCTACCTCTACAAAACCACTGTATAAGGCGGAAATCACTCCTCCAGTGTCTACCATATTTGTCCCGAACACTTCGACATCAGGGAAACTCAGCTCAGATTTAGTTGGCGATTTGGTGATTAACAATACTTCTTCCACCACCTCGGCACCGTCTTCGAAACTCGTTAGCGAGACGGCAGAAATTAAAGGTAGGTGTTTAATCATAGACTGGAAAATGTAAAAGAGAGACTTTTTGGCTTTCTTTTGTGAACCTTCGTTCTGAAGAGGAAATATACAACTGTAAAATTATTGAGTACAGCTATAAATTCCTCTCATGTAAGACAACTGAACGAAAGGAAAATTGAGGCAAAAAACTGAATTCCAATATTGCGATCAAAGTGTAGGTCACCTGATAGAAGATTTCTAGGGCTATGGGGTAGGGTAGATTCGCTGGTGGTGGATTCGACCAGAGATACGTCCCTCTCATGAGTCCATCCGTCAAACCCCGCTCTTATAGTTATGGATTTTGGGTAAGATACCCTCATGAGCAAGGTACCCTAATTCAGATGGCGCTGGTAGCACTGGTAACACTGGTGGGGTCAGTAACACTGATGGGGGCAGATTCTGAGGGCTATGCGGAACACAGAAGTGAGTACCTGGTCCCTTCGTCCATCAACTACCACTACTGACATGAAATTTCCAGGTATCGCATAACCGTCATGACATTTCTCATTTCTGGGAGGAATTTGTTACTGAAGTGTGAACGATAGACATTTTTCACCTAACAAATATTTTTGATTACTGATTTTCAAGTGATGGTAGACATACCATCATGAGCGAGTTAAGCTGAAATGGTAGAAACAATAGGCGGTACAGGAGGCACATTTGTCTGCGAAAAAAGACTGTGTGCACTACCCGCCTGGGGAAGGGTTTTGCCCATAACTCAGTATTCTTGTGATAACTCAAACTACACTTTTAATATTTTGGAATGAAGGAAACTGGAGATTAGCATATATCTGCAATTTTCAGAGAAAGCAAACGGCCAAAGTTGATGCTGCTCACGTTGAGCATGAAGGAAGTTGAGCAACGACCACACCGCCGTCCTACCACTCGACAGATCTCCGCTGTCACCGTTCCACTCCCAGTAGCGAATCCTGCAGCAGCAAATCGCAGCAATACGTTGCCACCACTGCTGTCAATGCCATCGCTGAAGAGTCTCTCGTCATTCAGCTTGTTGAATACACCCGTAGACATCGCCACAAAACAACAACCACCTTCACCGAAGAAAACGGCTAAAAATAGACGGATTGAAGAGGATAGAAAGAAGTCTTCTGGCGTGCTCGGGCTGAAAAATTTGCTCCAGGCAAGAAATCAGAAGCGAAAGCTCAGTCAACATCGTACGCCGCCGCTTGGCACAGTGGACTCTGACAGGAAACTTGCAGCGAACCACACAAAGGGGACGGCCACAAGTGGACAGGAGTCAATTCATCAAAACACGGCAAAGGTACGAGATAAATTGAGACGACTGCGCTTTGAATTTATTTCCATTGAAAAAAAACGATCATACAGAGAAGAGGCTTATCTCCGTTTTGTGAGAGTGTCAAACTGGGATGAGGTGGAAGGGGAGGGGTTGGGGGGGGGAGGCAGTGAGGATGTGATGCCTCACCGCCTTT